GGTGTTATAGACTGAATTGTGTCCCCCATCTCCCTCCCCCAAAAAATTAAAAAGATATGTTGGAATCTTAACCCCAGTACCTCAGAATGTGACCTTTTTTTTGGAGATGGAGTCTTTTCAGAGATAAACAAGTTAATGAGATCCCTAGGGTTGGCTCTAATCCAATATGACTCGTATCCTTATAAAAAGGGGAAATTGAGACAGACACACACAAGGAGAACAAACACCATGCGAAGGTGAAGGCAGAGATCGGGGTGGTGCTTCTACAAGCCAAGGAAGGCCAAAGATTGCCAGCAAACCACCAGAAGCCAGGAGTGAGGCATGAAAGATTCTCCCTCAGCCCCCAAAGGAACCAACCCTGCCAAGACCTCAGATTTCTAGTCTCCAGAACTGTGAGAAAATACATTTCTGTTGTTTAAGCCACCCAGTTTGTGGTGCTTTGTTCCCACAGCCCTAGGAAACGAATACAGAGGGGAAGCTCCTATGCTTTTGTGTCAAATGGAAGCTTCTGAGAGCAGGGAATTTTGTCTATTTATTGACACATAGATGGTGCCCAAGAAATAAATGTCTAATAAATGAGTGTTTTTTTCATAGTTCACAGCACAGGGCATACAGGACAGATGCCACTCTTCTCACATATCACCCTTGACCTCAGGGGTGGTCAGATAGGGAACGTGCCTGCTGCTCCCCCTGCAGACACCTTCAGAGCCCACCTGATGCAACAGGGCCTCAGGAGCTGTGTGGGCAGCAGGTTCTGATCAGTGGCCATGTGGCCTTCGGTTCAGGCCTGAACCGAATATTGATTGCCGAAGTGACCTTAGAAATTCTACTCCAACTCTTTCATTTTAAAACACAAAGCCCACTGAGGGTTTAAGTGTCTCCTCAACCCACCCCTTTCCACCCCCGATGAACTTCAGGCTCAGCTGAAAGACACAACAGCGTGGATCTTTCAGTGTATCTTCTGCACTATTTTGCCTACCCTAAGGTTTCTTTCTTTCCTTTTTCTCCCCCTCCCGCCTCCAGCATAGCAGGGTTATGCTGAGGAGGCACTTAGTGGCAGGGAGAGACTGAGTTCTGTAGAAAATGATAATTATGCCTGTGGTCAGTATGGTGGTTCTTGTTACATACTTTCTAGCCTGATTTCTTTGGGGCCTAGTCTAATTTCTCTGCGGCAGTGGCTTGGGGGTGGGGGAAAGGGTCTGCATGGCATAGTCGACTCGTCTAAGTATGGCTGGGTTGAGAGTCTTCTCTCATTTGGACTCTGAATGTGTGTGTGCATGTGAGTGTATGTATGTGAGAAAGATATAGAGATGATAGATGATAGATGATAGATAGATAGGTGGACAGATGGATAGCTAGCTAAAGTGTGGCGGACCTAGGAAGTCTCTTTCCCAAAGGAAGAAGGGGTATCTGCCCATGTCCTGTGAAGCTAAGCTGCCTGCCCAGGCCTCTCTCCATCTTCAAGTCCAGACCAGATTATAATGAGGACTGAAGTCATCTAGATGGGTCACCAGGAGTCCACAGGGCCCTACCCAGCAGGGTTCAGCCTACAGGCCACACCTAGGCCAGTCTGGGAATGGCCTCCTTTGTGTTAAGAAACAAGAGCCTCCCAGATTGCGTGCGGGGCTGGGCGTGCGCCTCACAGAGAGCCCTCTGTGCCTGGGAGAGGGTTGGCCCCGGCTGTCCTGGCAGACATCCAGGCACTGCCCACCTATAGCTAACCGCCCCGGGGCTCCCCACCTTTCCTCTCCAGCTGCGCCTCCCTTCCTCACAGGGTGTGGCCACAAGGGCAGGGCCCTCAGGAGAAGGCCTGGGCTTTGCCAGAAGTGTGACCCTGGGAGCCCCTGGCTGAAGACCGAGGTGACTCTAAGGACTGCTGCCGTGGAGAGGAGAGGGTTCTGGGGCTGGCTGGCACACTGGGGCGGGCTGACAGAGCAGGGGCTGCTGGTGGGCAAGAAATGTCCGGTCACTGGGGCCAGGAGAGAGCTATGAGGACACCGTGGGTGGGGGCGAGACACAGTGTGATCTGGCTTGTTGCTGGGGAGACATCTTCACCGAATGTCCGCAATTATAATTGTGACTGTTCGTGTTCCTTTAAAAATTAAATTTAAAAAAAAAGCCCACGAAAAATCTCATGCTTGTCAGAGCCTTCCTCCCCCGCTGTCGGCTCCCATTATGAATCCACGGCTTCTTCTGCTGAGAGCTAATTACATGTTGTGTGAAAGATACAGGGCTTCCTTTTACATTTTTTCCTCCTTCATGGGTCCTAACCCTTTCAGCTGCCTTCCCCTGCTTCCCCTCTGCACATCAGAAGAGAGGGGCATCTGGGAGGAGCAGCTGGCCTGACCTCCGGCCATGCTCCTCAGAGCCGGCTTCTCAGCCGCTAATCGCTCAGGTCCTCCCTGGGCTGCTGAGCAGGAGACGGCCCCGTCCATCCTCCTCACCAAGGAGAGATCCAGCTCCTGCCAGAGTGCTGGGGACGATGACAAAGCACAATTGGAAGGTGTCATTTAGGGGCCCGGCACTTAGCCCCTGTGAAGCCTACCTCCTTTTGCTCTCCTTCCCGCAAAGCGGGGGTCAGGTGGAGGGCACCCTGAAGTCATCCGTATGAAGGCGTAGAAAGGGAACATGACCCTTTCCAGAAGGTGAGATGCACAACTTCACAGCTGCTGTTCTTCTTGCTTCTTTTTTCTCATTGCTCCCACACGTAGACAGGTATTTCATTCTTAGGATGGCTTACCTAGGAACCTATGACCAACTCCGGAAGAAACAAGTGTGGACTAATACCGTGAATTATTGCCTCTTTGCAGTGTCGAATTTCACCTACTGATGAGCTGGCTAATTGCACAGCTGTTGGGCCCTCTCCGAGCATGCCATGACTCCCCTTGGTCCTGACAAGTCAGGGCACCGCAGCGTTGGAAGGGCCTTCTCCACCAACCCCTGCCCCAAGCCGGACACACCTTAGAGTGGAGAATGTTCCACCGTCTTCTGTCTGATACCGCTCCCTTAAGTCAGGCAATAAAGGACACCTCACAGCTGTGAGTTAAAAGAAAACACATCTATAGTTACGATTCTCAACTACCTACACATGGAATATCCTCGTTAATGGGCAAATCTTTCATTGTGGGCTGAGGTCCTCCTGTAATTTTCTTAATTCCAAACGAGGACAGAATCTGGAAATGTTAACTTATTTTAATTATTAGCCTAGCATAAATGAAGAAACGTAATCTGCTGCCACGGGATTCCAAAATAAAACAATTAGGAATTTTCTGTTCTTTTTAATATTGTGTTTTGCAGCTTTCTGTCTTGGGCAGTACAACCAAGCATGGACTTTATGAAAAGAATAACTTCTCCGTTTATTTGGTTTTATTCTTCAAAGCACAGTTTAGGTTGAGAGGGCATAGATGACTGGTGTGACAAACCACACTGGATTACTGATGAGCGGGTTGTCCATGGCTTCTAAGGCAGGGGAATTCAGTCTTCAATGTGCAGAGCCTGTGAGAATGCAAGTTCCTGGGCCCTGTGCCCAGAGATCCTGATTTAGTAGGTCTGGGGTGGGGCCTAGAATTCTGCATTTTTTAATAAGCATCATGGATAATTGTGATGCAAGTAGCCACCCAACTACATGTTGAGACACCCCGAGCGGTTACGGCTGTGGCTCAGAAGCACAGAAATCAGCTGGACGCCCAGCAGCTGCTGCTCTCCTCCCAGCCAGAACTTTCCTAGAATGTATACTCCAGGAAACCACGTCTGTTTTTAAAACATCATTAGTGTGTTTTCTCCTTGGTTATAGAGCTAATGCAGAGGACTTATATAATGCCATAATTAAAGGAAAATAACAAAATCACTCATAACCCCTCCATAAAAGAGGGGAGAGACATTACTATTATGTTGGTTTCGTTTCCTTGTATACTTTTTATAAAGTTGACAACATTCTGAATATATCATTTTATTTCATTTTTCCTCTTTACTAATTTTTTTCTGGAAATATCATTTCTAAAGGCTACATAATATCCCCCTCATGGGGATGGGCCTTATTTTAGTCACCATCCCTAACTGTTGGACATTGGAGTTCTCAAGAATTAATTATTATAAACAATATTGAGACGAGTATCTCTGTACATAGTGTGATCAACATTTCTGATGACTTCCTAGGAGTGGATCACTGGATTAAAGGATAGGAATGTTTCTGAGGCTCTTGACAGACAGACTGCCACCTCGCTGCCTCAATCTGCCCCCTCGCCGGCATACAGTGGAACGCCCGTGTGTTGGCTCGCCCTGCAGCCTGTGCTATAGCCTGTTTATCAAAGGTATCACTCTTACCACGTTACGGGTTGTTCTTCCTAAAAGAGGTATTGTGAAGTCCTAACCCCTAGTACCTGTGAATACGACCTTATTGGAAACAGGGTCTTTGCAGTTGTGATCAAGAAGAGGTACCTAGAGTGGGCCCTTGTCCACTATGACTGATGTCCTTACGAAGAGAATGCCATGCGAAGATGCAGACACACAGGAAGAACACCGTGTGCCAACAGAGGCAGAGATCTGAGCGATGTAGTTATAAGCCAAGGAACATCAAGAATTGCCAGCTACTTGAGGCCAGGAAACTGGGAAAAGACCAGGAAAGATTCTTCCTGGTCTCAGAGGGAGCTTGGCCCTACTGACACCTTGATTTCAGGCCTCTAGCCTCCAGAACTCCGAGAAAATAAATTTCTTTTGCTTTAAGATACCCAGTTTGTGATATGTGGTTATGTAGTCCTAGGAAACTAACACACCAGATGTTCCCTGAATTGGTGTCCCCTGGGCCAGAAAGAGCTGAGATGCAAAGGACAGTTCTTGCTCCCTCTCAGAAGGTGTCCAATGCAGCTGGTTGATCTGTCCTTCCTGGGAACATTTCCTGCTCCTGGAGCAAGAGTCCAGAGGCCAGCGTGGGGCTCTGGGCCCATTATCCATTACAGCAGGGTCTGGTTTAGTGTCTTCCTTCAGGATCACAGCTCATATGGTAGAGGACAAGCGGAACATAAACTTTGTGTTTTTCTTTGAACTCTTAGATTTGACTCAATGAAATAGGTATTTATTAGGCTCTTTCAATGCCTCTTAGATTAAAGCCTCATTCAGGGGCTCAAATATGCCAGAGTATCTGGACAAAGGTCATCTTTGTCACTGATTAGGCCTCAGACTGATTCATTATCAGGTTTCTCTCAGGCCCTAAAGCCACGGTTGGTTGGGAGATTGTACTGCTCTTAAATTCCTTACTTCTAGAAATGCTGGTCTTTCCTTCAGTGCCTTCTGAAAGAATGACTTGCTCTTTCAGGTTGATATTTTTGACTCTGGACAGAACCTGAAACTAAAGAACCCCAAATGGAGATTATATAAGTGTAGCAAGGTGTCAACCCCATAGTTGAAAGTCTAAAACATGTTAAGTTACCCTGTACCGAGTGCTCACCAGGTGTCACTTCCTCTGGTTCTCACAAGAGCCCTAAGAGGTAGGCATAACGATTTTCTGCTTTACAGGCAAAGAAACCAAGGCACAGACAGCGAAGCAGGCAGCCCGAGGTAGCAGAACTCAGATATGGCAGAGCCAGAGGTGGATCCGAAACTTCCTAACAGAGTCCTCCACTCTCTGCTCCACTATGTGGTCAAGGATGGCTTGAGAAGGTTAGCTTCTCCCTAGAGTGATAAATGCTACTAAAGGATGCCAGATGTTTTGGGGAGTTATGCCAACCCATTTGAGGCAAATGTTCCTAGTCCAGCTCACTTTCATCTCCAACTTTTTTGGCACCTGCAATAATACAGCATTTTGTTACGTGACCCCTTTAAATAGCCTGACTCCTGCTAATTCATCTCCTAATCTTATATCTCACTTTGAATACATGTTCCAAAAGAGTTGCAAGAAAAATGAGCCCTCAAAACTGAGAAGAGAATCTTATATTCAATGGTATTCTTTGAAAAAAGTTCTAAAAGCCCCTAACTTGTTTGTTGTGTGAATGTACATTTACACCTGACACGTTAGCTTCGGCGAGGTCCACCTGTGCTCCTGAGTATGGGTTTACACCCCACAGGCCAGCTTTAGTGAGGAACACTTATATTCCACTGACCCTGTGCCCTAGTTCCAATTACTAAGGGAGGGAGTGAAGGCCCTTCCTGCCGAATAGCTGCTTGGAATCACTGAGGGTCCCAAAGGCTGGGCTGAACTGTCAGGCAAAAAGCAGGTTGGGTCGAAACCCAAGATGAGGCTCTCATGGAAGCAGACACAGCAAACAGGAAGCCCCGACAGACACAAAGGAAGCCAGCTCAGGCCACACATGGGGCAGAGGAGGGCAGAGCTGACAGCTGATGCACTTCCCCAGGAGTTCCACTGAGAGGAAGCTACAAAACAGGGGCCTCCCAGTGGGCCTCTGGACGGAGAGGGAAGTTGAATACAGCAAAACCTCTTAGGCCAAGCAAAGCGTGGTAAGGGTTATGTGGAGGTCCCGAGGGCCCTAGTGCACTCAGACCCGTGGGATGGGAGGAAGCTGCTTCACAGAGAGGATGGCAACTGATCTGGGCCCAAGCCAGAAATATGAGAAATCAGAACTTGAAACAGTGGAGGAGGCCACCCCCACTGAGTTCTCAGCCTGAAAAACAAATGTGAAAGTTGGGGCTTGCGGTGTTTGTGGCTTAAGTATCCGGCCACAGCCCCCTCCTGCACCTGGCTTTAGCTCCCAGGATAATCCCCACTGGTCCTGCCCACCAACTTCCCCGAAGGGCAACCACATAGGGCCACTGACCTGCCACTACTAACACTTTCCATACCAATCCCTGGCCACTATTTCTGCCCTCTGATGACACAGGGCTCTGCGTCTTGTCCCATCTCAGCAACTTAGACCCCTTTGCTTCCCAAGAGCTGTCAGTTTTTACTCTTTTCTACGGAGGCCTGGAACCCAGGGCTTCTCAGAAGTCTGGTTCAATGCTATTGTGAGCTGGATTAGATTGGCAGAAATGAGCTGCCCACCCACATACTTGGGGAAAGGCTGCCCAAGGAGACAGGGTCTGAGAGCTCTTGCTCTGCATGAATTTGAATGAGGGTCATATGGGGCAAGAAGCAGCTCACATGGTCCCTGTGGAGGCTGTGCTGACAAGCAGCTCTGGACAGATCCGGACGGTTTTTGTTCACCCAGCTGTTGTGCTACTTCTGCCTGCAAGATGAGACACGGACACCCCCTCCCCGGCTGGCATCACTTGTTGAACTGTGGCTTTGGAAAGAACGGCAAGACAAATCCCGGAAAGACACTGAGAATGAATTCCAGCTGGAAGCCCACCAATGACAGTCGTGTCTTGCTCATCCTGAGGGTCACGGGACGGTGGATGAGGTGGGATGGTGGGAAGGGAGGAGATCCGTCGCCGGTGGAGGTCTGCTGTTCTGTCCTCCTGGCTCCTCTCTCCCTTCCTTCCTGTCTGACATGGGCAGGGAAACCTGTCAGGGTACAAGAAGCTTCCAGGCTCCACTCAGGCCACTTCAGGCGTATGCTTTTTAAAGGGTCTTTTGCTCTCCTTGAGCATCCTAGAACCACAGAATGCAGCCTCCTGGGGCGGGGGAGGCGGGGGTGTTACTCAACAGACTCAGGAGCAGCCCATAGCTCCGAGATGCTCCAGCCTTGTCACCCAGAGGAAGACGCCCAGACATCTTCACAACACCTCTCATTCCTTTTACAGCTAATACATTCCCCGCCCTCCCCCAGGAAGCTTTCGCCTAAATTCTCAGAAAGTAGGAAACTCACCTTTCCAAGGACTCCAGTTATGTCCTTTGCATGTTCTTAAAATTCTTTTCCCCTCTTTTTATGCTTCCTTCCTTCTTCCTACAGCCACGCTCACTTCACTGGACCACCACCTCCCCTCCCTCGACTTACTGAGGCTCTCAAACTCCTTTACCCTAGAACATACATCCTCTTTGAAGGGTGTGAGGTGGAGGGGTGGGGAGCCTCCAGAGTTAAGCCAGTGCGTGTCTCCAGGCTGAACCCCGAGCAGGCAGGGCTGGCCCCCAGGCTTGGCCGGAGCTTCTCCCATCAAAGGGAACTGGGCCAAATTATCCAGACATAAATGTTCCCTGGTGCCCTGGGGCCCACGGTGTCTACCAGCGGTTCTTTTTCTCCCTTGGCCAGGGGCCTTTCCCAGCAAGGGCCTCCTCCTCCCCAACCCCTCCCGAGCCACTCAGGGGCGGTCCAGTGACTGCCACCCACTGTCGGCTTCAGCACGTGGCTCTGGGGCAGCGGGTTTCCTCCCTGCCCGACAGCTCCGCAGGGTGGTTTTCACCCTCTTCCCCCCTCACCCCCCACGGTGACTTCTCGTAAAAGCTCCGCTAGTCCCCACCCACCTCCGCCCTCCCGCGGCTGCCAGACCGGAGCCGGACCCCCACCCCCTCCCAGCGCCTCCCCCGGAGGCCGCGCTTTCTCCCGCCCCTGGCACCGGGC